CCATCTGACATATGTCCATTCCGAATGGACATATGTCTATTCCGAATGGACATAAATTCCAAATGGACATACAACAGAACTCCTTTGCCCATCTTGGTTACTGATTCGGTGCTGGTATTACAAATTTTCGCGGCAATTGAAAGAGAAATGAAAGACTTTATCAGAAATATTGAAGGTCTGGTCACGAGTGATTCTAATAATAATACAATACAGGCTAACAGCGTCGTTAATTTCAGAACGTAGTTAGAAAAATATAATACTGTAATAAGCAGCTTTAGATTCGCCTGCAACATCACGCTTCAGTTAGATCTTATATTGATACTAGTGTAATTCTTAATGCTCTAATAAATAATATTCATTTCATTTATTGGTGACGTACCAATAGGGGTTATCCTTTGATTTGGCATACGAAGTAATAGTTCTTAGCATGTGTTCAAATAAATAAACTTAAGGACTTTAATTTAAACAAACAATGAACTTTCACAATGAGATAGTCCATTTCTAACAATGATACCCGTTTCTTTCCATCAATGTCCATAACCAAAGTATCGGAAGCACAAATGGGTGATGTTACTGTATATGTATCTACCCGCATTTCGATGACATAAGTCGCTCGTTGACTGATAACAATTATGACCCTAACTCGCTTAATTATTATAAAGCCTAATATGATTGTGATCCTGATATGAGCAAACCACATTTTTTCTAGTCCAAGAAGAATTTATTCAAGGAAATTTTTCTGAAGCCTCCGAAAATAGCCTAACAATAAAGCCTTTGGTAAAGTTTATTACCGATCATATCGTACACTCGATAAGCCGGCCGCTCAATAAGCCGGTTTTGGCTTAAGCCGGCCAAAATTTTTCAGCCGTTTTTTTCACTATTCAAAAATTCTCGATAAGCCGGCCAAACTATGTAAATTCTCGATAAGCTGTAAGCCGGCCAACAGCTCCAGCCGGGTCTTAGTTGAATGTACCTCGATAAGCCGGCCATTTAGAACCAGCTCCTGTTGGCCGGCTTATCGAGGCTGACTGTGTAATAGTTTATTTATAAAGCATTATTTTGAATATAAAATCTTATAACCGTAATCGTATGGATAAATTTAGACATAGCACATCATACAGTACATAGGAATAAATAAGTAACAGCCAAATTAACAAGACGGTTTATATTGTACAACGACCTTTGTATTTGTTCTTAGTGTTCCGCCATTATTCAGTTGTATGCTTACGTTTATCGTACAAATGCCTAGCGACTCGGGACTGAGAACCAAATTTAGCTATCATATATTCATATACACCGTGGTTGGTCAAGGTATACTTTTCAAATGCATAGAGGATTTTGTCTTCAGGTTTGTCAATACGGCCAATTATAAAGTCAAGGGAAACGTATTGCTCTATATTTCTTTCTGGACGCAACAGCTCTGTTAGACAAATAGTATAAATATCCTCCTTAGGCTTTTTGCGAACAGTAGCAAAAGCTTCAACGAGCGTTTCGCCTATATAGTTTAGTCTGTGTTCCAATAATATTAGAGCGTCTCCGACAAGCTTGTCAGTCAATTTGAAGCCAACCACCTGTAAATCACTTGATTTCTTGACAACTTGTTCTAATCCGGGTAAAGCCCATTCCTCAAACTCATGTGGATAAAGAATTAATAGCGAGCCTCGTACAACGACATCATTTACATCGTTTACTACTTCAGAATATTCATTTTGCTTCCAGAGACTGACCAATTCAGGCAGAACTGAATAGGCCGTGCGATAATATTCAGTTGCATGTCGTATGTGTAACCGTCGGAGGCATCATCGGTGTATACACATAAATATGAATTTTTGCCCCTTGGCCTAACAGGAAATGGTACAAATTTGTACATTTTAATTAACGGTTTAATTTCGTCCATATTTTTTTGCAATTCAAATATCGATTGGCTGGTTACTAGTGGTCCACCTGAGAGATAATAAATAGATCCATATTATTTCCTCGGACCGGGATGTCATTTCCGCCAAACCGATCATGACCCTCTTTGAGAATTTGGGAGAAAACATCAAAGGAAATATTGCTTGCCCAGGGACTCCGAATTTTGGTTTAAATAAATTTTTTCCAATCTGGATCGAAAGTACCCATATGCGTCAATTTGAGATCGATAAGCCTACTGTCATACCTGCCAAATCCGAGCACTAATCTTTGGATAAAGTATCGACTGATGTGCGCGTTCTGCGCAAATAGACATTCGGCTACATCAAGATTAACAAATGGTTTGCCTATTCTTACTGCGTGAAATAATGCATGGGTTCTCCCGTGTCTGCAAATCAGCCACTTGGCTTTCGTTGAAGGCAAATTTACGATAATGTATTCACGTGAACACTTGGCAAGAGACGTAGGATTCCTCAATTGGAGAATAATTTCCACTTTGAGCTCTGGCGCTAAATTATTCAGACATATGCGTGGAAGAACTATCACTCGTACAACAATAACATTCATATCTCCAAACTCCGCTACAGGCATCGTCATAAGGCTCGGATGAGGAAGCTAGCCAGTTGATAAGATGACATCTGAAGACGCTTAACAAATTCGAGAATATCGATTAAAGAATGTTCATGTTCTAAACAACAGCACAACTCATTGCTCATACTTGTATGATCGGGGAAGTTTTTATTAGCAGAAAGCATTGAAATTAATTGAAGGAACCGTTTCTGTCAGCTGTCTGAACACTGTCTATTGGGGTAGGAGTAGTTTTTTTACAATTTCATTGGTTGATATACAAATTTGACCAATGTAATTGCAAGAATCAGGTCACGTTCTACTCCGCTTTAGCCATCCTCTGTCTATTTATCCGGTTGAGTAGGTGACACAATACCCTTGAATTACAGGACACAAAAGATTGTGTAACTGTTTCGTGAATCAACAGGCGGTTTAGAATAATGTAGATTTGAGAGAAGAAATTAACTATAAGAACTTTAGTAAGTGACAAAACACGATTCTTGGTACTTCCTTATTGTGATTTATTCTCAGACATGATAAACAGAGAACGATGTGTTGAGGTAAATAAAAGCGAGCATATTACTACAGTATTCGCTTTAACACTTATACTGGAAAATGTCTCGACAATGTTCTATGCTAAGCCTCATCACGATGTTCCGTCTTTTCAAATAAGGTTAGATTTATACAAAACAAAGCCCTAAATCAGGACAACAAGGGTTAAAGATAACTTTATTGAAAGTGAAACATTTTTTCTCTTTGAAAAAACAAGTAGAAGACAAACAAGACAAACGGAGCACTGTTCCGTAAAGAGTGTTGTATGTTTGTAGCACGACTTCATCTGAAGTCGAACGATGGCGTAATTTCAACTCGATCTACAAACAAAGTCCTTTGTTATTTTGTATTACCTTTCCATTCATTAGACCCAAATGGGGTAAAAGAATTGAGACTAATCAGTAGAAAGTATATTAAAAGTATTATAGAGTAAAATAAAAAAAGTTTTTCTGGTTCTCCGGGGACAGAGTTATAAATGCGTTCAGCTATCTGTTAAACGAAATGACGGCCTGTAAAACAGATTTGAAACTCAAACACAATAAGGAATTCACAACTACGATGGAAACTAATAGCGAATATATATTTGCAATGCCCGCGCGTAATTATTTAGACGGGTTAGCACCCGAAATTAAAGTAGAAATTATTTTCCACTTGAGTAATCCTACACCACTCGCTCGATGCTCCCATGCTTGGTACGCCGCAGTAAACTCACCTGCCACAAAAGCCAGGTGGCTGACCTACAGATATGGTAAAACTCATGCATTGTTTCATGCAGTAAAAATGGGCGAGCCATTCATTAACGTTGATGTCGTCGAGTGTCTATTTGCTCAAAAAGCCCATCTCAGCCGATACTTTATTCAACGATTAATGCTTGGATTTGGCAAGTATGACAGTAGGCTTATTGATCTCAAGTTGGCGCATACTAGAAGACCACTCGACCCGGTTCGAAACAAGTTGATCCAAAATAAAATCCGGAGTCCGTGGGCGAGCAATCTTTCCTTTGATGTTTTCTCCAGAATTCTCAAAGAGGGTCATGATCGGTTTGACGGAAATGACATCCCTGTCAGAGGAAATGATATGGAGTCCTTTTATTACTTATCGGCTGGTCCGCTAGTTATTAGCGAAGAAAGAAAAAAGCTGAAGGATAACATAAACGAAATTGAAAGGTTGATCACAACGTTTAGATTTGCGCCCTTTCCTCCAAGGCCCAAAATCCGAAGGCATATTACTGAGAGTACAGAATCACATTCTGTTAACTACGATGACTATCCACCTACTGATGGCTACGAGAACGTTCGCCAATTGAATGTCATTGCTCGGGCTATACTCATCCATCCCGATTTAGTGAATGTCTGGAAGCAAAACGGGTATCATGAGATAGTCGACGATATAAACGATTTGGTAATGGAAAGTGTCTTGTCAAATTTTAATCTGAATCTAGACCAATCCATTCAGCGACTAATAGATCTGCATTCTGTTGGGTTCAGACTGACAGATGAGATGATGGGAGACGCTTTGATATTATTTGCAAAACGTTTAAACGATATAGGAGGAGTACTGATAAATGCGTTTGCCATTGTTCGTGGCATAACTAAGAACAATATACTTTCTATATGCTTAAGAGAACTGTTGAATCCAGGCAGAAAACTTGAACGATATAAGTTACTTGAATTTATCCTCAATCGGGTTGATAACCCTGAAGAGACCGCGTACAGGGCCCTGCAAAGCTACAATATCGGAAATTCCGTAAACTTTCACCCAAGTAGAAATGGTTCTATTCCTCAAGCTCTTACGCTACTCAAATACGGCCATAAAGTTTATTATTGCATGCTAGCAAAGTTTGGTGCCGACTCACGTATTGCTACATATTTGATGAACGAGATTACAGCCGCTCGCATATGGAAAGCCAAACTTCACGAATCCAATAGGTCTCTCGTCTTGTCTTCCGCTTCAATCGACATCCTATGGCAAGAATCAAATACGGTCTTCAATGCATATTATAACGCAGGCGTTCATTTCGAACCACAGCTTTTATCCTTGTTCAAAACATGTCCGGAGGAAGCAGTCATTGCATGTCTGTTTGAGGGATACTTGGCGAAATTGTTTGAGTACAGGGTTGGGTTCCAGCCATCACGAGTAGACGAGATTCCGTCATTGCGAGTCATTCCATTATCACACAGAAAACGCAAGACAACCCATGAAGCGAGAATGGAATGGTGGCATGCGATTCGTTATTGTAATTTAAACGACGAAATGACGACCAAATTTGGACGTCAACGCGAAAAATTCCTCCAAAATGTATGTGGGGCATCGTCAGCGTCATCAAAACGGCGTCGACTCGGGTAAAATTTAGTCGGGGGGAGGGCCGATTCTGACAATAAATTTCAAGACCGTGTAACTGTTAGTGTCTTGCATGTTATTCAATTAACAGCAGAAATTTACTTTAAGTTCATCATGCGAAAGCTAGTACTTCTGTCTAACAGACGTACCCACGGTGTTTGCTCACTTCTTCAATCTTCCCTTCCATTTCCTCGGTAGTGATAGAGAGAGCGTTTGGTCCTTTCTCCAATTGCTTTAAAAATGAATACACATTGTTGCATGATGCTAGTAAATGAATTACCAATCAAATTCTTCGATATCGTCAACCAATGAAATTAACGCAACCTGGATATGGGGCATGCTGCAACAAAACCAGACAAAGTGAACATTTATAAATGAGAGGCTGATTATGAAGTGGCTGTAAAATTGACCAGTATGACTGATGACGTTTTGAAAAGTAATAATGTGCTCATGGCTTATTAATTTTAATGCTCCCCTTATCATACCAGAAGGTGAGGAATATAAACCATAACAGGGTTAATATAGGATTACCTCTATATATAAAAAATATTAATATGAAACTAATTTACATTAAATCCACTATGGAACCCAAGAATTACAGCACCATTAGAAGCATTCTAAAGAAAGCTCAAGGAGAGAAAATTGCTCCATACATTTTTAAAATCAATGATACCCAAATTCTCCAGCAATATCTAGATCAAGAAAAAATCACTTATGAAATTTATCAAGAGAAACGGAAAATCATAACTAATAAACGAGCATTCACACCAGCGCAAGATAAACCAAGAAAGAAAAGAAGACTTGAAGAAACGTAAGGAAAATAAAGCTTCCCGCAAACGTCTCCACTGATTGTCAACGAAATTCGTTCTTTATTGATAAAGACTGCTCGAGCGCATTCGTTGAGTGTTGATCATATTTCGCTACTTTGACACAATTGCAACCGAGTAAAGATTACAAAATAGGAATTCAATTTTTGTAAGCAATTTAATATCTTTATTATAGCATGCGATCGCTTTTGAAAATATAAATAATAATAAATGCACCAGAGTGATTGCATGGGAGGAAAATACTCGGACCCAAAGCCATTGATGAGTATAACCTATTCTTTGGTCACTCTGGTGCAAATTTAAATTTCATCTTTTTTATTATTGCTACTATTAATAACATTATCACTATCTTTATTTTCATCGTCTTCATCTGAGTGGTTTATGTTTTCCTCGATCCAACGTTGGATTGCTTCGATCGTCTTTTTCCGCGGAATTGTTCTTCGAAGATAAAATTTTCTTTTGGATCCAATTTAACCACAACTTTTCGATGTCTGGCGAGTAAATTTTGTTCGCCATTGACAGTTTTGTAATGGATTGTAATTTCATCGTTTGAATTAGAGCTCCCGTATTATTAGGCCGACCATTACGAAGTATGCCATTTAACCACAGGATGGAAATTGTTAGATCTGGTTTTTTATCGTTTTAAACGATATTTGTATTTGTTGAGTGTGTGGTTGCTTTTTCTGAAAATAAGCGACTAGTGCTTACTTCTGTAATAAAATCTTGCGATGATGTTTAAATAGACGAAAAGCGTGTTTCTGCGCATCAATTATCATTGGTCACTCTACTCTGCATACAACAGCAATTGTGAAAGATTTACGTAATACTTATGTCATTGATTAAGCCACTAATCAGCGTTAGTATTAGATCACATCGCGCGCAGCAATCTTCCTCTCTTTAATATTGACTAACGAAAAACAGAAATGGCGAGTATTGAAGAAGTTAAACAACGGGAAGAACGTGTGATCAATGAGTTGGAGGAGTTTAAGGGGGACAAGGACGAGGGGAAGTTGCTGAAGACATTGAGAGGGAGAGAGGGGAGGGGAGAAGTGTTAACTACAAGACAGCAGAAGACATTGGACGAGCTCGCGGCGAAGGAGAAGAGGCTGGAAGAGAGCAAAGCATATTGGGAGAAGCAGGTGGGAGAGTGGGGAGCGAAGCTCCGTGAGCTTACTCAGCCAGGTAGGGGACATAGAGTAGTGTGCATATAGCAGTCTACTTCAACATATTGACTTACCTTGTGCCTTTCTTTCCATGTTGCATTGGGTGCTAGTTATTGAGAGAATGTTATGATAGCACGTTGACTAACTTGTACTTTCCCTTTCAAATTGCTTCAACTCACTTCAGCAAATAAACATCCTTATGAAAAATTGTTAGTTGCCATTACCTAATTCTAATCTCACTATCCTACATAGTTGATACTAGATCACAGGTCCTTGATAGGTTAAGGAAAAGGCGCACCCGTAGTAACGGTACTATAATCGGACGAATGATGAAATATTGCATTTACGCCAATTATTTCCCCCCACATTCTCATGATCTGAATGAATGCAACAGCTATTACAAGCGAATATACTTGTCATTATGTAATTAATTGTTTTTATTCATATTGGGCAAATTATGCAAGTCCAAGGTGCCTACGACAAATCACTGTTTAACAATTAATATTAAAGCTTCGTCGCTTGATCAATTCTGCTAATCCAAAACATCATTATTTCTTTCTCTTAACAGGTGATATTGTCACCTCATCCAATTCACTCCCGTAGTCATTTTCTGATGATGAATGACTCATCACATACGAATTTATGCTTTCCACGCTTGCAGAAATCATCTCCTATTCAAAAGATTCAGTTATCATTATAATTCTTTGTAAGAAATCAATGTTCGAATGCTTACCCGCATGTTCCACAAATTTGATATAAATTTTGGCATGGCTTTTGGGAAAAGGAACGTCACCGTTGGATAATTGAACGTTGCTTCGTGTTTGAAAAAGTATATTCCTGCGAACGGCATTGACAGGCTGTACACATAGAATGTGTGCTCTGTTGGTGCACAAAGAAGCTGTTGTGAGCATATAACAAAATTTAATATCCAATTCATGAGAACCTACTGTAGATCTGAATTCCATAGAGTTTGATTTTCCGAAATTCTTGAAAATTT